GTGTTTCCAGTCTTCTAAAATTTATGGCAATTGAACTTGTGACTAGACCTAGGTTAACACCTTACGACAAATAAGACCTGCCTGGGCTGGGTGGATTACGACTTTTATTACATTTTGTAACCTGTTTCCCAGAACCGCTGCTGTTTTTTAACATTATTATTTAATAAAGTTTGTTGTGCTTGCATGATCTTTACCTGGCTTAGGAATAACAGAGGTGCAGGAAGTTAGAAATGAGCCAGACTCAAAAATCTTCTGATTTTGAATGTGGGTTGCTGTGAGTTTTCCATGCTGTATGACCATGTTCCTGAAGACTTCTCCCCTCATGTTACGCCCACATCTATGGCAGGCATCCTCAGAGGTTGTGAGGTCTGTTGGAAACTAGGCAAGTGAGGTTTAGATATCTGTGGAATGTTCAGGGTGGGAGAAAGAACTCTTGTCTGCCTGAAGCAAGTGTGAATGTTGCAATTAGCCACCTTGAGTAGAATTGAATGGCCTTGCAGCTTCAAAGCCTGGCTGCTTCCTGCCTTGGTTGGGATGTGTTAGCTGGCCCTGATTATTTCCTGATTGGAATTCCCCTGTTTATTGAGTGTTGTTGTTGTTCATTCGTTCAGTTGTCTCCGACTCTTCGTGACCTCATGGACCAGCCCACACCAGAGCTCCCTGTCGGCCGTTACCACCCCCAGCTCCCCCAAGGTCAGTCCAGTCACTTCAAGGATGCCATCCATCCATCTTGCCCTTGGTCGGCCCCTCTTCCTTTTGCCTTCCACTTTCCCCAGCATAATTGTCTTCTCTAGGCTTTGCTTTCTCCTCATGATGTGGCCAAAGTACTTCAACTTTGTCTCTAGTATCCTTCCCTCCAATGAGCAGTCGGGCTTTATTTCCTGGAGGATGGACTGGTTGGATCTTCTCGCAGTCCAAGGCACTCTCAGAACTTTCCTCCAGCACCACAGCTCAAAAGCCTCTCTCTTCCTTCGCTCAGCCTTCCCTAAGGTCCAGCTCTCACATCCGTAGATGATTATGGGGAATACCATTGCTTTAACTATGCGGATCTTGGTTGCCAGTGTGATGTTTCTACTCTTCACTATTTTATCGAGATGGGTCATTGCTCTCCTCCCAAGAAGGTAGCGTCTTCTGATTTCCTGGCCACAGTCTGCATCTGCAGTAATCTTTGCACCTAGAAATACAAAGTCTGTCACGGCCTCCACGTTTTCTCCCTCTATTTTCCAGTTGTCAATCATTCTTGTTGCCATAATCTTGGTTTTTTTGACGTTTAGCTGCAACCCGGCTTTTGCGCTTTCTTCTTTCACCTTGATTAGAAGGCTCCTCAGCTCCTCCTCGCTTTCGGCCATCAGAGTGGTGTCATCTGCATATCTAAGGTTGTTAATGTTTCTTCCAGCAATTTTCACCCCAGCCTTGCATTCATCAAGCCCCGCACATCGCATGATGTGTTCTGCATACAAGTTGAAAAGGTTGGGTGAGAGTATGCAGCCTTGCCGTACGCCTTTCCCAATCTTGAACCAGTCTGTTGTTCCGTGGTCAGTTCTGACTGTTGCTACTTGGTCCTTGTACAGATTGCCTCAGGAGAGAGACAAGGTGGCTTGGGATGCCCATCCCACTAAGAACTTGCCACAATTTATTATGATCCACACAGTCAAAGGCTTTAGAATAGTCAATGAAGCAGAAGTAGATGTTTTTCTGAAACTCCCTGCCTTTCTCCATTATCCAGCGGATATTGGCAATTTGGTCTCTCGTTCCTCTACCTTTTCTAAACCCAGCTTGAACATCTGGCAACTCTCGCTCCATGTATTGCTGGAGTCTTCCTTGCAGGATCTTGAGCATTACCTTACTGGCATGAGAAATAAGGGCCACTGTACGGAAGTTGGAGCAATCTTTCGCATTTCCCTTTTTTGGTATGGGGATATAAGTTGATTTTTTCCAGTCTGATGGCCATTCTTGTGTTTTCCATATTTGCTGGCAAATGGCATGCATCACCTTGACAGCATCATCTTTTAAGATTTTAAACAGTTCCTCTGGGATCTCGTCGTCTCCTGCTGCCTTGTTGTTAGCAATGCTTCTTAAGGCCCATTCAACCTCACTCCTCAGGATGTCTGGTTCTAATTCATTCACCACACCGTCAAAACTATCCTCGATATTATTATCCTTCCTATACAGATCTTCTGTATAGTCCCGCCACCTTCTCTTGATCTCTTCAGCTTCTGTTAGGTCCCTGCCATCTTTGTTTCTTATCATACCAATTTTTGCCTGAAATTTACCTCCAATGTTTCTAATTTTCTGGAAGAGGTCTCTTGTCCTTCCTATTCTGTTGTCTTCTTCCACTTCCATGCATTTCTTATTTAAAAATAGTTCCTTATCTCTTCTGGCTAACCTCTGGAATTGCGCATTTAACTGGGCATATCTCCCCTTATCACTGTTTCCTTTTGCTTTCCTCCTTTCTTGGGCTACTTCCAGTGTCTCAGCAGACAACCATTTTGCCTTCTTGGTTTTCTTTTTCTTTGGGACGTACTTTGTTGCCGCCTCCTGAACAATGTCGCGGACTTCTGTCCCTAGTTCTTCTGGGACTCTGTTTACTAAATCTAGTCCTTCAAATCTGTTCTTCACTTCCACTGTATATTCGCTAGGAATGTTAGTGAGATCATATCTAACTGGTCTGTGTATTTTCCCTGATCTCTTTAGTTTTATTCTAAATTGGGCGATAAGAAGTTCGTGATCTGAGCTACAGTCAGCCCCAGGTCTTGTTTTCACCGACTGGATGGATGTCCGCCACCTTTGGCTGCAAAGGATGTAGTCAATCTGATTTCGGTGTTGACCATCTGGTGAGGTCCATGTATAAAGCCATCTTTTAGGTTGTTGGAAGTGAGTATTCGTTATAGTTTACTCTCTGTTGTTTTTCTGTTGTAATGTTTGAGTTTTTTAATACTGGTAGCCAGATTTTGTTCATTTTCATGGTTTCTTCCTTTCTGTTGAAATTGTCCACATGCTTATGGATTTCAGTGGCTTCTCTCTGTAGTCTGACATGATAGTTGTTAGAGTGGTCCAGCATTTCTGTGTTCTCAAATAATATGCTGTGCCCAGGCTTGTTCATCAGGTTCTCTGCTATGGTTGACTTCTCAGGTTGAATTAGTCTGCAGTCATGTTCCTTGATTCGTGTTTGGTCAATGCTACATTTGGTGGTCCCTATGTAGAGTTGTCCACAGCTGCATGGTATACAGTAGACTCCTGTAGAGGTGGCATTTGTTAGATTTTCTTAGTTGGCCTGTAGATAGATTTTTCATTCAATGGAATCACTGGGATCATCAGTTTCATATATAATGGGTTTTTTTTTAAAAAAAAAAAATCTGGGTGTTTGCATTTCTCTTAGTACAATGATTATTCCGTGAATTTTTCCTCACACATCATTTCTAAATAATGACCAAATTTAGAGCTAATGGTGATTACAATCATGGAGGGCAGTTGATTGGTGGTCTTCCATGTTTGCAACTATGTATAGAAAACTGTCAACACATGACTCCACTGGGAGGGCATGACCACAGATTGGGAGAAAGTTTGCCATTGTAATGCTAAACTAATGACATCAGTAGATTTTGGCACTTAATTTTGGAGAAGAGTGATGAGCTTGATGAAATAAATAGAAGTAAAATGTGCCAATTGTCTGGTAAGCATCCCGTGGAAGGAAGCGAATCTCAGCAGGGTTCTGGTCTCCATTTCAGTGGGGAATTTGTATGATATGCTGATGAGCTGAGATATGCATACTTACCTAATTTTTTTAGCAAGTACCATCTGCTCACCAGAACTGAAAACTGGATCCTTGGAATGAGAAGACTTCTCATCTTAGGTTTAGAAAACTACATGGTGTGAATTGTTCCCAGCATATTAGAAACCTACATTTCTTGTATTGTCGAAGACTTTCATGGCCAGAATCACTGGGTTGTTGTAGGTTTTTCAGGCTGTATGGCCATGTTCTAGAAGCATTCCCTCCTGATGTTTCGCCTGCGTCTATGGCAGGCATCCTCAGAGGTTGTGATGCAGGTGAAACGTCAGGAGATGAATGCTTCTAGAACATGGCCATATAGCCCGAAAAACCTACAACAACTACACTTCTTGGTTTCTGTTTTGCAGCTGTCTGGAGTTTATAATAGCTATCCCTTGTAATTTCAGGTAAAAAAAGCATCCCAACATATCATCATGACGGCTTTTGGGGGTTAAATGGATGTGATTTTTGTCTCTTCCTGTAGCCATTTGAGCCACGAGGGGAAAACACTCTTTTCCACTAACACGTTACAACACTATAAAGGGTGTTTCATAATTGCAGTGTGTACAATTTCCATAATGTGGAAAAAGCGGGTTATTGGGTTTGGGAAGGTCTGCACTTGGACTCTCTCCCTAGAGGCCACATGGGCTACACAATTCCCACCCATAGAGATCACTTCCGAACTTACAACTAATCATTTACAAAATGGTAAAAGGTATACTATCAAAACACATTTTGGTATCTTCTTTGCTACCTTGCTATACACATTTGCAAGAGTCAAAATTAAGACATGTCACAAAATGGAAAAATAGGGAAGGGAATTAAGTCTAGCCACGATGGATCTGTATCTGCCTCTTCTTCTCTTCCTCATAGGTAGTGGTTCTCAACCTGTGGGTCCCCAGATGTTTTGGGTCCCGAAATCCAAATAGCTGGTAAACTGACTGAGATTTCTGATCAAAACACCTGGGGATCCACAGGTTGAGAACCACTGTTCTAAAGTCAAGCAGTGGCCATTGGGATGGAGAACATGGTGTTTCATGGACTTCCAGACCTATGAATGATGAAGCTGTGCCTGCTGCTGCTTATCTGCTTCTAAGGCCACAGCAATGTCTGTTCAGGTTTAAATAAGGTTCGAAAACACTAACTAGTTACAATTTTAGATTATCCTGATGTTATACTCTTGATAATATGTCTCTGTAAAATGTATTTATTGCCATCTTTTTTTTTACAGGCCTAAAGACTTTCGACAAAGGTAGTGGGATAGCAAAACAAACTGGAATGTGGAGCTTGCATACCTTCTATCTTCAGGTTCCCAGCACTTTACAGTTTGATTACTTGCATAAATGTTTATATTACGTGCTTTAAATTGTAAAATATTTTTCAGGTGTGGTCAATATTGTTTGGTTAGAAAAATAAATTTGAGACTGAAGAACATTTCTACTCTTTTTCTTTAAAGAATAACAGTAGTCACTGGATTTGTCAACTTCTTTCTGCCTCTTCTTTTTTGTAGGTGAAGTGGAATAAATGGTGAGGGTAAAAATCCTTTTTCTTAAAAATAACTGTAATATCTACATTTTCATATAACATTCTGGCCTTTGGGTGACCTTATTTTATGGCAGACACACCACATGATACGTAAAACATTTGGGCAAGAAGGCTGGCTGTTGCCATATCCCTGCTGAAGCCTGGAGTTAACCAGTGATCTCGCACTTCATTTTATGTGCCCTGTTCCAGCAAAGGCTTTTTGCACATGAGTCCCATTAAGGTGTGGGGAGCTGTATGTGCCACACCTATGAATAATAAAAGGCGGGCACAGTTAGCTGCAACTCTGTCTACCACCTCCTTGAGAGGCAGAGCAGTGAATTCATATCCTCCTCCTCCTTCTTACTTTAAAGATGTCTTACCCCATTCCCACCCTCCACCCCTCTCCCTGGACATACAAAAAACATACATTTGAAATATCAGTCTTAATCTCAATTTATCTACTCCACATCTTATTCCATTCTCTAAATCTATGTTTCTCAACCTGGGTGTCGGGACCCTGGGTAGGGGAGTCGCGAGGGGTTGACAGAGGGGGTCTCCAAACATAGTATTTTCTGTTAGTCATGGGAGTTCTGTGTGGGAAGTCTGATGCAATTCTATCGTTGGTGGAGTTCAGAATGCTCTTTGATCCCAGTAACTACAACTCCTGAATGTCAAGGTCTATTTTCCCCAAACTTAACCAGTGTTCACATTTGGGCATATTGAGGATTCATGCCAAGTTTGGTCCAGATCCTCATTGTTTGCGTCCACAGTGTTCTCTGGATGTAGGGGGACTACAACTCCAAAACTCAAGGTCAATGCCCATCAAACCCTTGCAGTATTTTCTGTTGGTCATGGGAGTTCTGTGTGCCAAGTTTGGTTCAATTCCATTGTTGGTGGAATTCAGAATGCTCTTTGATTGTAGGTGAACTATCAATCCCAGCAACAACAACTCCCTAATGATGAAATAAATCCCCCCCTCCCAACCCCACCAGTATTCAAATTTGGGCGTATCAGGTATATGTGCCAAATTTGGACCAGTGAATGAAAATACATCCTGCATATCAAACATTTATATTATGATTCATAACAGTGGCAAAATTACAGTTATGAAGTAGCAATTTTATGGTTGGGGATCACCACAACATGAGGAACTGTATTAAGGGGTTGCAACATTATGCTCTAAATAATTCCTAACTTGATCCCACATACTCTTAATGATTCTAACAGTTTTTATTTTGTCCACATTGTTCAATTTACAATTTATTTCCACATTTAACATATTTACTATATAATTATACCAATTTGTCAGAGTCCACTTTGTTTTATCTTTCCAACCCCTCACTAAAACCATTTGCGCACACTATTGATTTGTCAACCACTCTTTCCTTTTGCACATTACACATTCCTGGTATCTTTGCATGTAGTACATTTCTATTGACTATTATTATTTGGAATAATAAGGAAGGCTGAGCAAAGGAAGATAGACGCCTTTGAACTGTGGTGTTGGAGGAAAATTCTGAAAGTGCCTTGGACCGCAAGAAGATCCAACCAGTCCATACTCCGGGAAATAAAGCCTGACTGCTCATTGGAGGGAAGGATAATAGAGGTAAAGATTAAGTACTTTGGCCACATAATGAAAAGACAGGAAATCTTAGAGAAGACAGTGATGCTGAGAAAAATGGAAGGAAAAAGGAAGAGGGGCCAACCAAGGGCAAGATAGATGGATGGTATGCTTGAAGTGACTGGCTTGACTCTGAAGGAGCTGGCGGTGGTGACGGCCAACAGGGAGCTCTAGCGTGGACAGGTCCATGAGGTCACGAAGAGTCGGAAGCTACTGAACGAATAAACAACAAATTATTATTTGAAGATTTAACATTCTATTAATTTCTCCTTCAATAATTCTCCAGTATACCTGTACTCTATTACATTCCCATATCATATGATTAAACACACATTTTTGTTTACAGCCATGCCAACACCTGTACTTTACCCCTGGCAGAGAAAAAATAATAGAGGAAATTTTCAAATGTGGAGAATGGATCTGGAAACTGAGGAGAAGTCATTCAAAGGGAAATAAGTAATTTAATAAAGGAAAAATATAATGTACTAAGGGAAGCAAGGAGGAAAATGTTACAAAAATGATGTAGGACACCTTGCAGAACTTTCACGTTTTTTTACCAGGGGTAAAGGACAGATGAATGCATATCCTTGTTCCCTTTCTGGAAAAAAGAGGTGCCCATGACCTCCCACTTATTTCATCTATATGTTTGGTTATTGTTGTTGTTCCTGACTTACGAAAGCACAAAAGTAAAACCATCACTGGGTTTTGGGGGCCTGCAGGTGTTTCCAAGGTTACCCATTGAGGAAGGAATAAAACCCTGGTCTCCAGAATCAGCCTAACATATAGATCTGTGCCAGTCTCCAAGCCATTTGGAGAGACACTTTAGACGTGCAAACTTGGGTATTTGAGGTAGGTAGTTCAGCTACCCATTGTTACGTTTAAATGCTTTGCGTTTGCTCCAGTTTATTAGTCCATATGGTAAAATCTGTAACTCTTAGGATTAAGAAAACGACTGAATTTTGGATGAAAGTTTGAAGCTACACATCTGTCTCTTTGGCATATGTATAAATGACAAAGAAATGTCTTAAACTCGGTTACAGGGGCCATTGTCAGTGACTTTTTATCAGAGGGCATACTTTTTTTCCTTGTGTGTCTTCCAGTTTTCCTATGATGTCAGTTCTTTACAGAGACTTAATATAGTTGTCAAGACTATACATTTACAGTTCAGATCTGACACTTTAAAAGTCAGTCCCTATAGCCATATCAAATACTCTGGCATCCATTCTTGTTATATGAGACACATTTTTGTCTAACACTGTTGGCCAGAATTACAGAGTAGGAGTTAACAATAAGTAATACATTTTTTGTCATTTTGGAAGGTTTTGTGGCATCAATATAACTAGTACAGATTTCCTACAGTGCAAGAACTTAATTTAAAATAATGATACATTGTTCATAGGGATTTTATTCTCTCTTCAAAGGTTTATATTGCAGTCCTATACGCATTTACCTGAGAGCAAATCCATTAAACACATTGAGATTTACTTCTGAGTATATATGTATAGGTCTTGGTCCTTCAATTAGTATATAAAGTTATTTTATTGTCGAAGGCTTTCATGACTGGAATCATTGGATTGCTGTGAGTTTTCAGGGCTGTATGGCCATGTTCCAGAAGCATTCTCTCCTGACATTTTGCCTGCATCTATAGCAGGCATCCTCAGAGGTTGTGAGAATGCCTGCCATAGATGCAGGCGCAACATCAGGAGAGAATGCTTCTGGATAATGGCCATACAGCCCCGAAAACTAAAATTTCTTTCTCATCACCAAAATGGCATATTACTTTACCAATCTTCATGCTGAATCTATCGAGCTACTTACCATTTTGACCCCCTGCCCTTTTTCCTATCAACAGCACACACTTGTCATGCAGAAACTTCCCATTCCCATCCAGACTTCATTTCCTCTGCATAGTCTTCCAATTCTTGGAAGTACTTGATCAGAATGGAACATCTGGTTACTCCACGTTATGTATTCATACACACAATATTGAATTCTGACTGCAGTGCTAAAAAACACATCTATTTTGTTATCTGAGGTATACCTGGACTTTTATGCTCTGTTAGAAGCAGGTGTGTTAGCAGTGTGTAAGATCCTTTAAATATCACCCCATAGACATTCATATCTGACTAACAGTGCCCGAGTGTGAAAATACCTATTTACTAGGCCTGGGTAACAACGGAAAAATTTGTTTCTAAAATCGATTTGTATTTGGGGTTTTTTTTTGTTTCGATATTTAAAATAATTACAAAATTTTCCTTTTAAAAAGTTCGATATTTACGAAATTTCGTAAAGGGTAAAAAATTAACGAATCGATTTCCGAAACAATAACGAATCGATTCGTTAATGGCGGACGCGACCGCGAAATACGCTAAAAAACCTCCAAAACCTTCTGAACCTTCCCTCTCCCTCTGTTGTTGACTGTTGGTGTGATATTATAATTTTTTTTCACTAATTAAACCATAAAACTGGCCCAGACATGCGGAAATAATAACGAAACGACCTCAAAACAATAACGAAACGAATACAATAACGAAATACAAACCATTTATGAAACGATTTAAAAATTCGTTTTTTAAAAAAATTGCTCCAGACTGGTTCGTTATCGTTTTGTAATTGAAGAATTAACGAATTTTTTAACGAATTACGAATTAACGAAACGAAACCGCCCAGCCCTACTATTTACATTGCTGCGTCAACTTGCTGTTGTACGGTGACCCATAAAGTTTGTTATGTGCCTTCTATATCAAACTATTAGAAGCAAGATTTGTTAGCTCAGGTTCTACCCCTCCCTTGTGTCATCATGTCTCTTTTATACAAACATCACTTCGAAGTGAAAATGTTGTGATATCTCCATACCATCTAGCAACATTTTAATAGGAACAATGCCAACAGACCTAGCACATGATATCATTGGATGAAGTCTACTGACAGTCAAGTAGTGTGATTTATACTGCTTCTGGATTTCTTATTATACAGTATGCTTAGCTAATGGAGCAGATATTCATCTAATGTAAATCTTCCTCACTCCATAAGACTCACCAGCTGCAAGATTAGTTCATGATTTGGTTTTGTGGAGGGGGTGTGTATGGAGGAATGGCTTATTAAAATACACACTGTCAAGATCTTGGACAGGATATGAGGTATGACTGGTAAAGTTTCTAAAGCCACATTCTTGCAGCAACAATTTTAAACATCAAGTAGTGCTAAGAAACACAGTTTCGGGACATTTAGAGAAGAAGTCTTTCTTGAACACTAAGACAAAAAGACTCAAGTTTCCTTCTCCATAT